AACGATTCTTCTTATGTCTTATGCAGGTACTTCCAAGGGAAAAAAAGAAGCAGGAATATCTTGAAGCTGTTAAGAATCGCTACAAGCACCTTCCTGAAGTCAAGCGTATTGTGAGGTAAAATTGAAATTGAAGAATTCTTATTTCTTAACCCATGACAATTTCAAAATATGCCCATATTGCCCTCCCTTTTTTGAGGAGTTATCTTGAGGTGGGCATTCAAAACTATGCACTAGGAAATTTATGTATCAAGGCTTGTTTTTTTCTTTCTGGTCTTTGGACATTATATTATATTTTGTTTTATTTGTAAGATGATAAAAGAAGTTAGGAGCAGAAGAAATTTTGAAGCTATATTTAATGAGAACAAATGATCATCGTATTAGGTTCTTAACGCTACTGAATTGGTTATGATTATGCAGGCACAGGCACTTACCAAAACCAATTTACAAGGCAGCCAACCTCAGACGCACAATGATTGAAGCAGAAAGAAGGAAAGAACAAAGAAGGAAAGCTCATAGTGCCCCTGGAAGCATCGTGACTGAGTCAATTCGTAAAAGAAGAATCATCAAAGAGGTTGAGTGAATTGGACATTAACTTATCTCCAGGAACTATGCTTTGCACATCAATCATCCCTGCACGTCTGCAGTTATCTGTAGTTCCATGGCAGTAGACTGCAAATCCCCAAGTTCTATGACGTTTGCTTTGAATCCTCAAATGAATGTTGGCTGTAGTGAGATGAAGCAGGATATTTTGTTTTTTCTTACTCTAAATTAACAGTTTTGTCACACAGAAAGTTGATTGATATTTTTGTAATTGGAATGTTTATCACAGTCTAGTTATGAAAAATGAATACTTAGGTTCCTTCAACTGCAGTTGGCTTGTGCTTTTCTCAATTCTCGTCTCCGTTTTGGCTATTTGTATCCAAACATTCTCTTCACCATCATAAGGAACTCATTTTTCAGGTCAACACAAATACCATTCTGATGCGAGAGTTGCTTTCTTCACAGGACTAAAGTTAGTTAAATGGATGTCAAGAGTAAACATTTGCAGATTGCTTTTTTTTCATTTTCTTTGTTTCCTTTCTCCTTATCAATGCTCATAAATTATTTAAATTCAACTCAAACAAAATTTAAATAAAACTTGAGTTCAGTTCAATATGATTATTGTCAAATCAAACTTGAATGATTTTATTTATCAAGTAAACATAATTTAAATTTTGTAATACTCGCTTGAGTGACTTACAATTTTAATTGAGTTTTTTTTTTTTATATATATTTTTATTGTGTTACTTAAAAAATTATCATTATATCTATTAGTTTTAAGTCTGTGCATAACACGGGATAAGTAAATTAATTATAATTTTATTACATATTATATTATTTAAAATCATTTAATATGAAGAACTTGACTTTTTTATTATAAATTTACAAATTTGTGAGATACACTTGAATTATCTTTTTGCATCTTTAATCTATGAAAATAAAATACATATATTTTCAAAGAAAATAAATTCATAGCACAAACAAAATAAAAAAAAATGCTTATAATATAATTGTTAAGCAGATGCAATACATAGCACAAACAAAAAACAATTAATTTTAGGCAGATTTTTTTTTTTTTTTGTTAAAATTGCATTTTGCAATTCTATACCAAACAAAGTCACTCACTATCTTTCATTACTCTTTCTTAATTTTTTTTCTTCTTCTTCTTTTTCTTGATTTTTTTTTTCATATTTTTGCTAAATAAAATACGTGCAAGGAGATTAATGAAAAAAAGCACATAATATGCTACTAAGAAAATGATTGAAATATATGATATTAATTTTCCATGCTTATTCTTTTCATTGAATATGTATTTTATAAGCTTACTTCTATATTGAGCTTTGTCATTACTTTTTCAACTACCCATGCTTTGAAATAATTTCTTTTAATTTTTCATTGAAAAAAGAAAGAAAAATAAAGCATATATAATATTCGTGAAATTTGGATCTCTTCAAGGGTTTGAGCCTTTTCCTCATGCATTGAAGAAGAATTATAACAAAAAAAATCCAAAAATATTATTAATCCAAAAATATTATATATAATATTAACTATATATAAAATATTCCCTAAACATAATTAGTTAATTGAAAAGTACATTTATTTTATTTGAATCAAATATGGCTATATCAAATAATCAAAAATCATTTTTTTTACATGAAAACTAGAAATATATTATCGTTAATTACACTTTGATTATATTTTCTTAAAAAAATAAATATAATTAATTTAGTCAAAATCAAATTAATTATGAATTAAAAAAATTAAGAAAAAGATTTATCAATAAAATTAATTTAGTCAGAATCAAATTAATTGTTTTAATTGGATTTTTTTATTAAATCCATAAATATCTATAACTTTTTTTCAATTTTGTAGATATTTGCAATTCATCTTTAGCAAGTGGAACAAAGATTTAGATCAATCTAGATATTCTTGAAGTCTTAATAATTTTATAAAGGTATAATAGCTTATATAATTTCTTTTTAAATTAATGTTTTTATGATAAATTAACATTTTATTTTACTCTTTCTAGTATTTAGTTTGTTTAAGTAAGATTCTGATGTATAATTTTATCGCACATTGCATAAAAGAGTACATTCAAATGAGGTTTTAATGTTTAAAAATAGAAAGCATTTGTTGGAGATTAAAGCAATAATCACAAAGCCAATGTGCAAGGTATTTGAGTAGTTTTATTTCTTATGGAGCAACATAATTTTAAAAATGATTGATTTTACATGTATATATTTTTATTAATTATTTTATAATTGAATATATACAGGAAAAATCTTTCACTGGTAAAGTAATTACATTAAAGTTGATATCACTTTTTGTTGGTATTTTATGTCGTGTGGGTGTAACAAGAAGTTATCTAAAGTTGATGAGAAATTTCAATGTTATTTTTGCAATATTGATATCTCTAATCCAACTCCAAAGTAATTAGTATTTATATTTTTTATATTTGATATGTAAAAAATTATTATTTCATGATGATAATAAAAGTATTTTAAATTATTATATTATATTTATAATTATAAAATTTTACATTTTTTATAGGTATAAGTTGAATATTAGGACATATGATAATTATAGAATAGCGATATTTGTACTGTTCAATACAAAAATTAAAAATTTAATTAAAGAGATATTGATGATCTTAAGATATTAAGTTAAAAATTATTTTAATATTAGTTAATATTTAAATTAATTGAATAATATATTTATATTTATGATTTAGAAAAATGAAGATTATAAAATCCAAGAGATATTCAAAGATGTCAAGGGCAAAATTTGTGTTTAAAACGAGGCTAACCAAATATAATCTTGAGATAGGTAGTACCAAACTTACGGTGAATAAATTGTATGCTTTTGATCCTAAGCTTAAATGTCAAAAATTATTAGAAGATGTATGTATAAACTTGTTATAATGATTATATTTGTTATAAAGTTATATAATTTAGATTATAACTTAATTGTTGTCAAATTACATATTGTTATTTTATTTGTCTCTTTTAACTCCATATGTGAAATCTTTTGATTCATCAAGTAAAATAACACATACTTCAAAGATAACAAAAAATGCTAGAGTATCAATTGTCGCATCTTTCTTTTTAACAACAACTTATGAAAAATCTCTTCTGAAAAAAGTTTTGATGTGAGATTGATTTTAAGGATGAAAGTTTTAATTTATTGAAATCAAAAATATTATTGTCTTTTGTTTAGAGATTATTTAGATTCAATAAATTATAGCTTAAGTTTTTTTAGAACAAATAATAATTGCATAAATATATTTAATATATAATTAATTAATTTTATTATATTAAAAAATATAAATTTAAATAAAAATGATTATCTAAATTATGAGTTGCTCTTAAACTTCATAAATTATATTATCATTTTATAAAAATTTATATTTATATAAAATTTATTAATATATGAATATATTTTTATACATTGCACGAATTTAAAACTAGTTAATATTAATAATTTAATCCAACAACTTGCACCACTTTCCCTTTACTTTACGTGTAATAAAACTCACCCCCAACTCACTAGTAACAAAATCCAACCATTTTGCTCCCATTTTTCACTAAAAAAAACCAAATAATTAAATAAATAAATAAATACAAAAAATCCTTTTTTTAGTACTCCATTTCCTTTCTTAGGACCACAAAATCAAAATTATTTAAAAATTTATTTATTAATGTCAATATAATCTATTTTTAGATTTGATATATGTAAATAATTATATTTATTTTTTATATTAAAAATTTAAGATTCGAATTAAATTTTTTTTAGTTGAGAGAAGCATATATTATTGATGATGTTTAATATGTTGGTAGGGTATAAGATGACTTAGAGGTCACATAAAGAATGTCCTGTATCGGTAACAAAAAAGTACAATCAAGAGACATCGAAATTAATTCTCTAAAATGCAATCTAATACTCAAATTAATCAAGTATTTAAGGTGTTTTTAGAGAGATAAGATGAATTACAGATAATCCTATAAAAGCTTTAAAGAGAAAGATTCAAAATCTATTGTATTTAGGTCTTATATGTAAGAGAAAAAGCTATAACGTGATCAAAGTTATTAACCATTGAATGTGAGTTGTATTCCGTGGTGTTGTGCAAGTTAGAGACCAATTGGTTTAGGTTAGAAGCTAGTTATAAAATAATATCTTAATAAAATGTTAGTAAAAATTATTGGATAAATATCGATTTGATTAGACATAACGATTAATCTTATTAATTGAGTAAATAAATATAATATATATAAATTATTGAATCAAATATTCAATAAACAATTATATTTATATTTATATTTGATTACTCATTTAAGATATAAATTATTTTATTTTATGTTACATTAATGCAATTACTATAATCCCACAATTTTAATTATTAACACCTATCAAGTACTAAAAAGAAAGAATGAGAAATTGGTGTGGGTAGGATGTAATACAAGTATTTTATAGGGGTTAAAACATGAAAATATTTCTTTTTTTTTTCAGATTTTATTTTCAATTCAGCCACAGATTTTCACTGCCGGACTCCAACGCAGAGAGAGGGAGAGAGAAGAAGGCTTCAGGGAAAACGAAAACACCAAAAAAAAAAAAAAAACCCCAAAAAAATGGAAAAGGAAAACCCTAGGAAATAGTTAGCTTTCGATTTAGAAACATTGAAGCGTTGCATTTCAAGATCTCAATTCTTCAATCCTTGAAAGGTAATTTTTTTCATTGTTTTTTTCTAATTGTATTTATTTTTTCAATTAAAAATTTTATAAAAAAAAGGTTCTTTTGGTTGTTTTTCTCTTCGATTTTTTTTTTCAAGTTTGTTTTAATTCATTTTCATCTCTCACATTGTAGCATTTCCTTTTATTGAATACCTAATCTTCAATTCTGAGGCTTTCCTTTTCTTTTTTGTTTCATGAGCTACGTTTTGGGTTTTGTTTATCTTAAATTTTTTTAGGGCTATGTTTTGTTGCCGAGAAAATGTGGAAATAATAAGAAATCAAAGTTTTTCAGGATTTGGGTTTTCACTATTCCATACTTTGCTTAGCTTAGTTGATGTTTTATTTATACATTTTTTTGTTAATTAGGACACAATTTAATTTAGGATTTTTAACATTGTTTTTGTGTTTGGAAAGAAATAGTGCCAGAATCACTGTTAATTTTTGAGAGATTTTGTTTTGCATAAGGTAAACAATTAGATTGTTTAGAGGTTGTTGTGAGTGTGAGGATTATCATGATCTATTTCCTGTAGACGTGTTTTCTATGGCAATTTCGTTGGGGACGATATGCATTTGGGGATTTTTCATCTTTTACATTGTTTTCTATTTTGATTTTGTAATTTCTTTAAAGGATGGGCCATCAAGTGTGGGTTTACTTCCTTGCTTCCTGGTAAAGGTAGGATTTTTTTTAATGGGTCTTTGCTACAGTGCTCTGAGAGACTTTACTACATATGCAACAGTGAAAGCTTTTGAACGAGATATGAATATGATTACACATCAGAGACAAGAGTGTTTGATGGATATGGGGATATGTTATTTTATGACTCGGTGTTTTTTAAGAGTATCTATGACTATATTTTATGCACGGTTCAATTAAAACAAGCAATTAATGATCCTTGTAAAAGATGTTGTGCAATGTTGCAATCTTCTACCTACAAAAATAAAAGCACATAATTCTTGTCACTGTGGTTCTTTTTTTTATTTGCTTTTGCATGCATGCTAAGATTTAGTGATTGGAACTGCGGACAAATTGATGTTGATCTAAGATGTATAGCCATGTTGCAAATAATTTGTAATGTATGAGTCACTAGCTTTTTTTATTCTTTTTATGTGATCTTTCCATTTGGATTGAACCTTTTCCGGAATGTCTCCCTCTTATGATATGCTGTCTATCAAACATGAATGTTTTTATGTTTAGATCATTATATATTTTATAACAATAGGTTTGATGAATGGTACAATCTATTGTTTTTCTGACTTTCTTTGTTGAATGGAGGGCTTGTGTCTCTTGGTTTGTGAAGTGAAAATGTCACTGCAACTCTTTTTCTGGGACTTTCATGTTTGCCTTTGTTCTTATCATAATTGATCTATTTGAGGATCTGTCTCTGCTGTGCTCTTTGCAGGAACTTGTTATTCTTGGCCATGGCAAACTCCAAGGGGTCAACAAACATAAGAAATTTTATGTTTACAGGAAAGCATGCTTTACTTCCTCCAAAATGTCCATTTCCTGCGGTCTCCCCAACATATACGGACTATGTCCCCAACAATGTAATTGGATCAAAAACAGTTCAAAAGCATAGAGAGGGAAATACAAACCACCAGCGCACTTCTTCTGAAAGCCTTCTGATAGAGGAACAGCCTTCTTGGCTTGATGATCTCCTTAATGAACCAGAGACTCCTGTGCGCAGAGGAGGTCATCGACGTTCATCGAGTGACTCTTTTGCGTACATCGATGTATCTAATGCTCCTAACCTAGATTATGCAGCTCTGAATGAGTACAGATATAAAAATATGATTTCTGCACCATCTTGGGCATCTCGGGACTTTGGTTATCACAGTCACAAAGATGCTTGGCTTAGCTCTTTCTACACTGATGTGAACTTGGTAAAGCAAAAGAACAGGGCATGGGATTCATCTTTGAATGCAGTGGTTCATCCAACGGGGCTTCCTTCATTTAGAGAAGGCACTATTTTTCAGGGTTTAGGATCATCATGTGCACTAAAAGAAGTAGAGGGTGCTTCATCAACAGCAAGTGAAAAACAAGATTCTGCTGAATCTGCCCCTTTTGTTGCAAAAACTTCTTCTGAGAAAAAGGATAATTCACATGCTAAATCTTTTGCATCTGACAGCGATACAAAACGTGCGAAGCAGTGAGTAGCCTATTTTATTGTTCCAAATGTCGTGGTTATAGAACTATTATAGTGAAGTAACGTATAATGTTTTCCTGGTTGCATCGCTCCGTCTGCAACTTTTTTTTCTTATATCTGATTTTCTGCATCTGCATGCATTGAACTAAATCTCACATTGTTATCAAGATCTTTGAAAAGTTACCTTTTATGAGGTTAAGGAATGCTTATAGTTGCTTATAATGCTGCTAATGTTGTTAGCAATTAATTACTTTTGCTTATAATGACCAAATTGAGAACGACAAAGAGCTTGTCAATTAATTTCCAATGGGATTTGGAAATGATGCTAGGGCATGGATCTGCAGGTACCCTAGGAATGACTGCATTAATTAGATGTTTCTGCATTCACTTTCTAGTTGATTTATGCATTTCTTGGCCTTGTACCTCTTGTTCTTTGGGGAAAATTTTCAGATGAGTATTTACCACAAACCAGATAGATTTGCACTTTTGGTTTCCTCAAATCCTCTTTGAATATAATTTTATGGAACATGAGTCTGCTAATGCTTCTCTGTAGTCTGTATTGCTGGTTTTTTCTGCATATACACACACGAAAGGATAACATAAATAAATATTCTTATGTTATCGCATTCATTCTTTCTTTCTTCAAATTTTCTTATTTTGTTGTGGCTGGTGTTTAATTTAGTTGATATTTCTTTTGTTAATAACTAGTCACTTCGATTTATTTTTGCTGTGTGAATATTGAAGTTTTTTTCAATCAAAATACATATTTGGTTATTACACCAATGCCCTACATTGGTAGAAAATATTTGATTACAGTACTTTGTTACTGTCTATTGCAGGCAGTTTGCTCAACGCTCGAGGGTGCGTAAACTTCAGTACATAGCTGAGTTGGAAAGCAATGTACAAGCTTTGCAGGCAAGAATTAGTCCAAACAGAACTTTTTTAACGTTTACTTTCTTTTGAAATCGACTTAGAGTTTTGAAACAGTATGCCTTACAATGAAGTGTTAATTATGTTTTTTACTTAACAGGCAGAAGGATCTGAAGTTTCAGCTGAGCTTGAATTTCTCAACCAGCAGAATCTCATTCTTAGCATGGAGAACAAAGCTCTTAAGCATCGTTTAGAGAGTTTAGCACAGGAGCAGGTTATTAAATTTCGTAAGTATCTAACCCATAACCTCTAAGGCTATGATTGTATGTTGTTTTTCTGCATTAACTATTGCATGATAGCCGTTTTCTTCTACCTTCTGATTATTTGTATTTAGTCCATATTTTGAATCTGTATGAATTGACATCATAGGGATACTAGATCCAGTTAGATTTATTATTCCATAAGTTGCCAATGAAGATGCTTTAAAGGAAAAACAGTATTGGCAGTACAAACTTTGACCAAAAAAATTACTGGAGAGTCAGTTTGAAATAGTTTGAGCATGAGTGGTTAGATATAGTGAAATTTATTATTACATTGTAAAAGGATTTGGAAGAAGGAAGAAAACGTATGTAGAAATTATTATTAGCAGCACTGGTTTCTCTGATCATGGTTTTGTTTGTTACACTAATAAAAGATAGAAATGTCTTGCTGTGCTCAGTATGGGAGGCATTAAGTTATGTCTTGACTCATGAGCAAGGCACTTTCACTTGTTTTCCTTTCATGTTTAGGGGGAAACGGGGTGCTGTGGTCCATGTCATATTCTTGGTTGTGTTCTATGTCAGAAAAAGTGAGTAAATTTCATGGGTGGTCATTGAACTATCACCGATATCCCAAATAGGTCATTGAACTTTAATTTGTCTCAAAAACATTACTAAAATTTGTTAAGTGTACCAAATGCGGGCACCCTAACAGATTTTATCTAAATTTTTACAGAAAAATGACATGACTATCATATCATTTGTCACATCATCTGCCAGCTCATTTAACTAAACCAATATAAATCATAAATTATTTTTGTATTCATTTGGCTTTTTTTTCTCTTTCTAAATTTTCTCAATCTCTACCTTAATCTTTCTCTCTCTACTTGCCATTTCTGGCCGCCACACATGTCATCGCCGGCTGCTGCTGGTCACCAAGGACTCATTTTGATCTCTTCTTTCATGTTATCCAAACGGATTTTCAAAAAAATTCTCCTAAATCCATAGATCTGAGATTTTAATCTGAATTTTAAGCCGCCGAAAACCTGCCTTGCCACATTCAATTGGCCTGACATTTCAATATGTTCTTCCTCTCTTTTTGTGCTCTTCCTCTCCATTGTTTTTTATTTTCAATCCCCTGTTATCACCGCCGATATTGGTTGTTTTGACTTAACTATAAAAGACTGGTATTGGTTGTCCTATGATCTCAATTGATCCTTGCAATTCATCTGCCCTTTCAAGCGCACATCCTCCTAAGATTACCAACCTTTACTTGCACTTCTCCCGGATTTTTCAACCCAGAATCAGCTGCTCTACCAGGGCCACTCCTAGGTTCAACTTTAACTGAACTTACCTTGTCACTCAGACCCTTCTCATCTTTTTGTTCCTTATCCGCAGATAAACCTTGAAACACATTGCTTTTACCCTGATACACAGAAGATGAGGAGGGTGTGCACAAAGGGCTAAGTGCCATCCTTCTTGTCTATACCTAAGTCAATGCTCATGTCATTTGTACCACTCCATCTTCTTAGCACATTCTTTTCAGCAACTGCAGGCCCAGATGATACTTCAGATGAAAGTCCTCAGTTCTAAAGAATTCCCAACGACAATGGGTTTGCCTCCAGAGCTTGAGGTCTCCAGTTTGTCCTCAAAGAGATTGATTCTGTCCAGAATTGATTTTGGTAAAGATGGTGGCTGACTGAGTGTAGTTAAATGAGGTGGCAGATGATGAGGTAGCCATGTCATTTTTCTATCAAAATGTGGATGAAATCTTTTAGAGTGACTACATTTGGTATACATAACAAACTTTAGTGATGTTTTTGGGACAAATTAAAGTTCATTGACCTATTCGAGATATGGGTATGGTTCAGTGTCTACCCATGAAATTTACTCGAAAAATTGATTTTTTGCTCCTTAACAATGTATTGGGTATGAATAATTATGGAGAAAAGGCCAATGCGTCTAAGAGGCCATCATTGGTCGGTCTTGTGATGAACAATAATTATTTTAATTGATTAAAACAAAATTGAATTGAATGAAAACTAAATTATGCAATCATTGTTCTCAGTTGAGCAGGAAGTATTGGAGAGGGAGATTGGTAGGCTACGAGTCTTGTACCAGCAGCAGCAAAACCAACAGCAACAACAACCATCATCTAGCCATCGACGCTCAAGCAGTGCAGATCTTGATTCCCAATTAGCTAACCTCTCTCTGAAACATAAGGATGCCAGTGCTGTATAACTGGTCCACTCCACATTTAAATATTTAATTTAGCCAGAACTCTTTTCGTGCCACTACTTCAACTGGTGCTGCCATGCTGACCGAATTTATTGTTTCCCTTGTGTGGGATAAAACCAAGATCAACCGGTCTTGGTGCCTTCCTTCTACCTGATCTTCTCTTTATTTTTATGTCGTCTCTTACCCCCCCCCCCTTCTCGTTTTTCCTTCAACCAATTAATGTCTTCATGTGCACCTGGTAGTCATTGCCAGAAAACTGGATTTCAGCCGTATGACTTGCCTGAGGTGGTAAACATAAGAACAGGTTCCAAGTTTAACTCCCTCCTGTCTGTTCATCATTGGATATGATTCAGAAATTTTATGTGCTCCATTTCCCTCCATTTTTAGTATCCACCTAGTGGATACCACCTTAGTGCAGAGATCCTTAGGCTTTTTGGGTGTGCATTATTTATAATGCATAATGGTAGGAAAATATCTCTTGTAAAATGCTTTTAATGAAATCCATGTTGTTTTTCTGGGTTCTGTTGGCTATAATTTGCCTGGTTTTCCCCTTCAGCTTGAAGATAGTTTGGTTTGTGCAGGTTTGCAATCAAGGAGGTGCCCCCGTACTATCTATTATTTATAGTTCCCCCTCTCCCTTTCACCTTGCCACTATCAGGGACATTTCCACGGCCAAATTCTTTTGGAGGGTTAATGTCTGAATTGAAAAAGTATATGTGAAATATGATACTGCATTCAAGCTGGCCTAGCCAGTGCGAGTTTTATTTTTCAAGCTCGAGCTCGATTCGTGATCGAATTCGAGCTACTCGAGTTCGCTCGATTAAGCTCGATTAATATGTAAAAATAAGTCTGATTCGTATACTCGATAAGAATTCGATTATTCATGCTCGAACTCGAACTCGAACTCGGATTCGAAATATTTTATTAATTAAAATAATAAAAATATATTTAAATATAAAAGTTCGATTATGCTTGCGAGTTACTTGAGTCAGATATAATAATACTCGAATTCCGCTCGATCGATAAGTCGAGCTACTCGAGCTCGAGCTCGACTCGACAATAATCGAACCGAATTCGAGTTTTTTTCGAATCGAACCCGAGTAACTTGCGAGTACTAGTGTATCATTTACACCTTTAGTCACCCCTACAACATCTACTGAGATGCAAGTATGTGAACCAGCGATGAAACCATCTGCAAATTGGCATTCTGGCAGTGAAATTCTGATTCTCCATTTGGCTATTTTCATAGACACCATAAATAAGCTTTTACCATCTCCTATCGTCCTATGGCGAATTTCTGTGTTTTTCAAGTGCTATGGCTGGAACCAATGGCTTCCTTTATACGTCGCGGGGAGACATAGAACATAAGCAAATTACCTATAACGTTTGGAATTGCAAGTATCTAAAAAGGATGTTAGTTATCTATTTAGTGACGAAATATGTCACAATCTTTCTAGGCATTCACAGTCACAGAATTAAAGTGTTCTTCTGGATAAGTGAAAAGCAAAGAACTATAAAATCTAAACCGGGTAGGAAGTTTTCTAATAGTTCTAAGTGTATAAAAAACTCAATAGCACTATGAAAAATGATTTTTTACAATTGTGAAGTGAAGCCTCTAATTGCGCATAGATATTCACTTTTTCAAAATATAATTAATTATAAGCAGCAACGAGGAAAAGATAAAAGAAAGGCTGAATTTGGCACCATGTCCAGTGTTAGGGAGCCATGGGTACTGATCAGGAGGGGGCATAACGCACTCATCACCATTAAACAGAATTCTTCTTGGGAAACACCATCCATCTCCGAAAGTGAATAGTATCCCTTGATCTTTGGGCAGCAACATTTCAGTTTGCATATTTCCACTTTCACCTTCCTGCAGCAGCATGTCATGTAGTACTGAATCCCCCAAAACATCCCTGTATCATCTGCACACATAAATAAAACAGTTTCTCGCTCAAATTTTCCAATCCACAAAGAATCTACCGTAGCATCTCTACTGATGATTGAATGAGCTTTTATCTAACTTACTGATATAGCCATTTTGGTTTAGTGGCTCATAGTTGAAGCTGAAAATTTGTGTCAAGAATTTTAAGTTCGGGTGTAATGCCACCAAATTCCACTGACTGTAATTCTTCAAAATATTCATATTATTCACTATTATCTTCACCTGCCAATATTCTTTGTAACTTTGTTTCACATGCCAACGGACCCGTATTGGGCACATATGCTGCGAACACCTCACTAGAGATGGTGGCTCCTGATTTGGATCTGTTATTTGTTGCAACAACGATGTTGTTTTCCAGACCTGTTTAGACAACATATAAGGCAACCTTAATGGAATTAGGAATGTCAGAACCTATGAAACTGTCTGTAGGTGTTCTTATGCAGCTTCATGGGGAACAAATATGTTAGATGATGAAAGAAGTAAGTTGGAGGATTTACTTTACACATTTTGCGCCAGGTAGTTCCTGGCAGCTGCAGCTGCATTTAGGACAAGGAACAATTGAGCTATCGTAGAATGCAGATAAGTAGACACAGCACATTGGAGAACTTGATGCCAGAAATTGGGAGTAGATGCGGGTCACATTCCATGTCCCCGCAAAAGATCCATGCAAAAACACACTAGAAGGAATTACCAGATGGCCATGTTGTGCTCCAATGGTATTCACAAGTATTTTTAAAATATTAATCGAACCGCATTTTCTTAATCAACATACTAAGATTCAGTTTGTTTCAATTAGGTTCACATGATGAAGGAAGAAAGAAAAAAAAGCATATATAGTTAATCAGTCTGTTACATTGACAGCTACATAACATTGTAATACATACTGGTTCCGAAAATGGTAGAGCACGTTGAAGATGCATGATGATATATCTAGATGTCCTGTTAAGAGATTATATTTTTTTTGTACTTGAGGTTCTCAGTGAATTATAATCACTAAAACTAAGAGCCCAACATTCTACCAAGAGATCACATGGCTGTTGGCAAAAGATTATAATTGAGAAGAACTTAACAGGAGCTTAAGTCCACCGACGGCCTCCATCTGAACTATACCTACTTGGTGCAACCTGAAATGGTTTCCCACAGGTATAGCCTGGAATTCCAAAAGTAAAATTTTCTGGCATTGTAAAGTCTGAATTGTTGACAGCTCCAATATTCATCTGAATAACTGCGGCATAATTGGTAGGGTCTTGTATCATGGACGATAGGACACCTCCTTTGCAACAATTAGTAGTTTGCAAGTTATATGGGGCTCCAGTTAAAAGGTCAATGATCCATGGCTTCTTCTCACAACGATGAGGAAGCTGGCGTCCCTTGAACCTAGAGCAGTTCCCTTGTTCTATCGCCTCAGCTCCTTGCATGCTCCAAATGGCCTCATAACCTTTCCACTCCCAACCCAGTCTCTAGCCAGGCCGCTCGATATAATCGGAAGTTAAGTACTGATACCTTCACCTGCAATTATGTCGACTTCCCACAGCAATGGCAATGAATCCATGAAACAAAATTATGTATAAGGGCTTAAGCTTAATGCATCTGCTTGGATCACTCTCTTAGCAGATTCAATATACTACAGTAAAGTACTGGCCTGTATCACTAATAAAAAAAACCCGAAACACTAATTTCCTTCACTGTATTATGAGTAGTTGAACTTGAACAAGAGCATGAACATGAAGCCTTGACTGACAGTTGGACTCTAAGTTCTAACCAACCAGAACATGACACGTTAACCTTAAATGATTCTTCTCTTTATAAAGACGATATTACCCCTACCTGGAATGATGTAATGGGCAACAATTGTATAACAAGCCAACAGTTTGTGGACCCCAGCTGCCCCCTAAACACAAGCGAAGACAAACAAACGGACATTCTTTTCGACTAGGCCGAGCAGTGAACATGCACTAGAGTTGACTCCTGTAACATAACACTTTTTCAAACTTTTATGAGTTAAATTTTTTTTAATTTCTTAATATTTTGTTCACTGTTATGTGGCATCTAAAACCCAAAAATAAAAAAAATGAAAATTTGACAAATTTAATGCAAGAATCAGAAAATAATAGTAAAAAAGAATTGGAGAGGGAGAAACTTACATCATTTGTATCAGAATTGGATTGCAAAAGATCCCATTTAATAGTTATGTTGGCATAAGGATCAAAGGATCATATCCATCTGCATTTGGATCAAAATCAGTCTCCCAAAAAAAATTAAAAATTCAATGTACATTTTCAATAAAAGTTGACTTTAAAACAAAAAAGAAAAAATGAAAACCCCAGATCGAAAATACTTACATGAAGGTGAAACTGAGGTACTCAGAAGAAAGAAGATCAAAGTCAAGACCATATCTACTGATCTTTGAACATCAAAGTAAAAAAGGGTCATTTTCAAAACCCAAATTTTTATTGTTCAAACTATGAGCTAAAAATTTTTTTTTTTTTTTGTTGTTTCAGTCCTTGAATATAAATCTGAGCAGCAAAAGAAACAGAAAAAAGATTAGAGAAGTGTTTTCATTGGTTTGTCTGTTTAACCCAATATATATCTGCTTGTAAAAAAGATTTTTTTCAAAATATTTTTATTTAAAAACAAATTAGGGAATAAATTGTAATTAATGTAGTGAGAAGAATTTTCTTGGATTTGCCAGATTTGGGTGCAAAGAATGCGTCTATTTCTAGGTTCTGATCTGTTCAACGTTTCGATTCAATGCTCCATGCGTGTTATCCAGGTTGGATCAGGTTTTTTTTTTTTTTTTTCTTTAAGAAAAATTAATGTAGGTCCTTAAAAATGTTTTAAATGTTGAATTTTCATCAAAAAGAAAAAGTTATGATTAAATTATGTTTTATCAGTTAAATATTAGTATTTTAATTTTTTTTCATCTTCGATATTTGCATAACACTAGAATATTACTTATTATTATATAAAATCTTTAATTATCCATTTTTATTGTTATGTGACATGATTAAATGAATAAACTAAAATTCAAATTTATTAAAAAATGTTAAAATATGAGTTGGAGTTAGGATTATTTGTTCTTTGGGATAAATGCAACTTTTTTTTTTTAATTTATCCAAGAAGCAATGCTATTTTTTTGGATAGGTTTTCTTTTTGGATGATTTGATTAATATAATCAGCTAATAAATTATCTTTGGTTTAATTTCCTAAAAAGGAAAATTGGTTTAAGAAGGCAAAAACTAATGAAGATGATGAACTTATGTTCATAAATTAGGCATGCTTAATTAAGAAATGAGAGTTATAAGCATAAATCTCCAGCTACTATAATGTTTACCAAAACATACCATAAACATCATCATTGTAGGATAATATTCTTTCATTATCTCTTTCCCATTTTTATTAAATTATTATATATATAAAAAAATTATTTGATACAAAATTTTTTTAATTACATAAACAAGATTAAAAGGTCGGTTGATATCATTAATTCCAAATTAGATGAAATTCATGGGTTCAAGTGGCTGCCAAGCCCTCATGGAATAGTAGCAAAGACTAGCATTTAACAGTATCACAACTCAATATTTGCCTTACCTGAAAAGAAGGGAGATGCTTGTTAGGAATTAGATAAATGTATTGAATACCGGGCAGAAGAAAGATGGAAATTTTGTTAGGGGCAATTTCACTTAATAATCATGCTCTTGAAGAGACAACTTAGGGTAATTCATACATGGAGGAAATAATGATTTGAATAAATGCCAAGGAATTAACCAAAAACATGAGATAGATACCTAAAGAA